CCTCCACGCCGCCTGGGGCCTGCTCCCTGGCTCCCCGTGACCTCCTCCACGCCGTCTGGGGCCTGCTCCCTGGCTCCCCGTGACCGCCTCCACGCCATCTGGGGCCTGCAGAGCGAGGCCAGGGAACAGCGGGCACCAGCCACCCTCACCTCACTCTCATGAAGGGGTTGTAGGTGAACTCCTCGGCGATGGTGGACGGCACCGTGGGCTCCCCGATCCCATACTTCTCCTGAAAAGACACACTGCTCTAGTACAGAACGCACCCCAGGGATCTGGGGAGGAGAGTCATGGTGCAGAGGTCAGCTGTCGCCTGGTCTACAGCTGGAGCTGGTCCCGCCGTGAAGGGGGACCCACCATGACCGGCTCTCTAGCCTCTGCTGTCCGGGTGGGAGGAGGTTAGAGCTCTTGCTGATAGCAAGTCTGTTTTCCTATTACAGAGTAATAACCAGGACGTCTCAGAAAACACGCCCAGCCCCATCCAGAACACATGGGGGCCACGAGCACCGCCCGGGAGGGGACACACCAGGGAGTGTGGGGGGCCATCAAGCCCGCAAGCGTGGCTGCACTCAGTGGTCTCACTCCTCCTGAGCAGCACGTGGACCAGGCAGGTGGAGGGAAAGGACACAGACCACTGTCTGGCCAAGGTCAATTCCTGCAGAAACCGGTGAGCAAAACAATGGACGACGAGTGGGGAGCTCCTTGTACGACAGCTTTAGACACCCACACCAGGCTCCCACGCACCTGCTCCCGGCGCCCTCAGACCAGGACCCACCGCCTAGCGTCCTGCCACACTCACCCTCGGGCAGGAGCTACCGTCCACCACCGCAGGCTGTCGGGGGGATGCTTGGCTCAGCAGCAACCTCAGAACATTCACAGCATCCTGCCTGCTTCCTCTCGAGTTGTCACTCCTCTACCTCCCACCTACCCAAACCACACCCACACACCAGCAGCCAACTCCAACCCACAGCGCCCCTAGAGGACGGAGTGGGACTGCCCACAGGGTCTCCTAGGCTGTCAATCTTCACAGAAGCAAAGCCCAAACCACACCCACTGCCTGGAGTCCATTCTGACCCACAGCGCCCCTAGAGGACAGGGTGGAACTGCCCACAGGGTCTCCCACGCTGTCAGTCTTCATGGAAGCTGACTGCCTCATCTTTCTCCAACTGAGTGGCTGGTGGGTTCAGACTGCCAACCTTTTTGTTAGCAGCTGAGTGCTTTAACCACAGTGCTACCAAAAGTCACATCTCCATCCTCTTGTCTATGATAATACAACTCAGTTTTAAAAACAGACAAAAATTGGGACACTTAACAGAATGGCTGCTAAACACAAAAAGATGTCTAACATCATTAGGCATTAGATGTGGATTAAAACCACAGTGAATCCTACCACCTACCCGTTAAAATGACAAAGACTGACGCCACCAAATGTCGACAAAGCTGTGGAGCAACTGGAACTCCCACCCTGTGTGGCTGGGAACAGACAAGGAGCACTACTTGGGAAGGCAGTTGGGTGGGTTTTTTTAGTAGATGTATGTTTGACTTTTAAACAGCCCAGCAACTCCACACCTAAGTATCAACACAAGAGAAATCACATTTCACAGAGACTCGTAGGTGAGCGTTCCAGCAACACAGCAGCCAGTCATCAGAACCCACGTGCACGTCTGCCTGCCGGTGAGCGGATGGAACATGCATCAGCAGCCAAAAGGGGTGAACTGCAACACAGCACCAACACGGTAAGTCTCGGGCCGTCATCCAAGTGAAAGACAAAGTGCCCACCGTAGGCTCCATTTACACAGGACTCCAGAAAACAGAGTCCGGGGGAGAACAGGCTTGGGGCTGTTTGGGTCCAGGGGCAGAGGGAGGCAGCAGGAGGAAACTCCTGAGGGTGACAGGAGCGTTGGTCAAGTCGGTGCCGACTCAGGGCCACCTGAGTGCGTGGGCAGACCATCCCTGCTCTGCAGGGCTTCCAAGGCTGTGGCCTTTCGGAAGCAGGTCACCAGGCCTGTGGTCCACAGTGCCTCTGGGTGGGTTCGAGCTGGTGGCCTTTGAGGCAAGTCATCGAGCAGTTAACCCCTTGCACCACCAGGGACTGTGTCATAACTGGGGTGGTCACTGCACTGGAGTCTGTGAGACCTCAGTGAACTGTCAAGTTAAAGCCAATGCGAGTTATTACATGAGTAAACCCCAACGAAATTGCTATTAAAATAGGGAAACTTAATATCAAAAACCTCTCTGCCAATACGTTTAAAACCTGGATGAAACAGACCAGTTGCTGGCAAGACACGGTTACCAAAGCTGAGTCGGGAAGAAGTGGAACCCTCCTCGCCCCACACACACTCCAGTCACGGAGCTCATGATTCAGAATCCCCACAAAGAGGTACAGGCAGGCGGCTTCTGCGGTGGATGCCAACAGACATGAGGGAAGGAAGAGCGGTCAAGTAAAGTTGTTTTCAAAAAACAGGAGAAAACACTTTCCAATGCATTTTGCAAGGCAAAGCTTCACCCTGATATTAAAACCAAAGGCATCACAAGATCATGAAACTACAGACAAGAGTCCCCCATGACACAGACACAAAAGTAGGCTCTGCCAGCAAATGACTGAGGCATATTCTGAAACATGACACTGTCAGCGGTAGGCTAACAGCCATACTGCACGGGAGACCAGCCGACACCCATACTATGCCTGCAAGCGGGAGCAGTTAATACTGTCACTCTTCAAGTTTATCTGACAACCCAAAAATGCCAAAGACAAAGAAACTGAAGATTTTTCAAACAGCTGTGGTCTGATACTGGTGCAAGGATAAAACAAGTTGGTCAATGGGATCGGATCAACCCCAGCAACAGACACGTTTGTGTATCCTTTCCAACCGTGACCAAGGTGCTTCAGTGCGGAACAGTCTCTCCAACAAATGTTGCTAGAACAGCTGGGTATCAACATACAAAGGAGGGACTCTACCCAATTGACTCACGGTACTGACAGCAACACCATACACAAACTTAACTTGAAATGGACCACTGGCCTAAATGCAAAAGCTGAAACTGTAAACTGCCTAGGAGAAAGTCTCTCTGTCCAAGAAGGAGGCAAAAGCTTTCTTAGCTAGACCACAAAAAACTTAAGAGAAAAAGTTAATCAACTGGACTGATCAAGGGGCAGGGAGGATAGACCCCGGTGTCCAGGACATGCCCCTCACTTGCCTTTAGCCCATGTGTCCCCACATTGCTCTGGAGGTGCCCACGCTAGGAAAGAGGACCTGCAGCTCCGACCTCACCTTGCTTGCTGGAAAGGCTGAACGTCAGGCCCGCCGAGTCCAAGCTAATCTGAGGGGGACCAGAGAGGAGGGCCACGCAGCCACACTGGGGACTGCACACTGCTCTGAACAGCAGACGCCCCCCTTGCCCCAGCCCTCCGCTGGCTCGGAGGACACAGGTTCTGCCCACACAGCTGGTGACCACGATCCTCCGGGGTGAGGGGCACCCAGAGCATGCCCTCAGGGTCCACTCACCTTGGCCCAGGCCAGTTTCTCCTGAATGGCAGTGTTGTGGGGCTCCACGTGGCGGGCGAACTTGAGGTTGTTGATGGTATACTCGTGGCCACAGTACACCTTCTGAGAAGGTCAAAGCCAGGCCCGTCAGCTCCTCGGCTCGCAGAGCTCCCTGGGGGCTGGGGCAGGCTCCGAGCCCTGGCTGTTCTCTCACCCTCGCTAGTGAGAAGCCACTGACTCTGGGGACAGTCTTTAAGCATGTGGCCACTCGTCTGCATGTATGTTTAATGCCAGTAAGACACAGCTGAGGAGGATACAGCCCCCTGGTCTGCCCTCGGGCCTCCTGGCACAGCCCCCCCCCCAGTGCCACTCCCCCTCAGGACTCCTGGCCAGGGGGTAGTGGGTGCAGAGGGGAGCCAGGCCGTGCGGAGGCCTGCTGCTACGTGGGGGTGAGTCTGCCTCCCGAGCTCCCCCGGACACCAGCACTGGGACCGTAGCCAGGGTGGAGGGAACGCACAAACCGTGTCTGGGGGGAGCCGGCCCAGGACTTCAAGCAGGGCCTTGTACATCTCGTCCGCAGTCCCCTCATAGAACTTCCCACAGCCGGCCACGAACAAGGTGTCACCTGGAGGGCAGGACAGCCAGGGAGGCGTGGGTGGGGAACCTCCAGGGCACGGCACCCCACCACTTCCAACCAGCTCTGCCGAGACCCCACCACCTCCCGCTGCTCAGGCCAGAAGGCTTCTCTGACCCAGCCGCCGAGAAGGCCCGGGCCCTGTGGCTCCCACCTGCCTGAGCCCTGAAGCCGCAGTGGTGAGCAGCCCCCTCCCTCGGCCACACAGCACACCCCACAGGCCGCACGGCTCCTCCCTAGCCGCGTCCCCGAGACTCTGCCTCCCAGCCTCCACCTGAGAGCCACGCCCACAGCCAGGTTGTGTTGAGAATGCCTGCACCTGTGGGACCTGCCCTCCATCTCACCCCACAGACTGGGATCCTCCCAGACTCCTTCCAGCTTCAGCTTCCTCCTGGAGACGCCACCTCTCCAGGCCCCCGCCCCATCTCGTCTAGAGGGACAGCCACTCCTGTCCCAGGAATCGGACCTCCCACCTCACCCATGTCTGCTAGGCACAGTGGAGCTGTGTGTGTGTGTGTGTGTGCGTGTGTGTGTGTGCGTGCGTGCGTGCGTGCGCGCGCGCGCATGAGGGTCCGTCTGTCCCATCTGTCCAAGGCCGTGAGACCAAGGGGCCCTGCAAGGTGGGGAGGGTAGCCCATGGCAGGAGTGGCTTTCCTCCATCGTCAGCCCAAAGGGTTAGGGTTAGGGTTAGGGTTAGTGGGTGCCCCTCAGAGCCCAGTGGTGGGGAGCAAGCAGGGCCTTGGCATGGGTGACCCCTACACACTAGGAGCCCCGAGTGCCAGTGCGAGGCGGCCTGGGACCCGGCCTCGGCTGCCCTGCCAGAGTGCCTCGGATGCATGTACCTAAATCTGTCTCCAGAATAGGCCCTGTGAGGGCAGAGCTGACCCTGACCTCCTCCCATCCATCCCCCTCCCCCTTTCTGACAGGCCCACCTGGTGGGGCCCGCCTCCCTCAGGACGTCTGGCCCTGCCCCCAGGCCCCTCCACCTGCCCCACACGGTGGGCCCCAAGCGGCCACCTCAGGTCTCCAGTCTGGACATTTTGCCCAGACACTCCAGTATCTCCCGCCATCAGTAAAGTACACGGCTGCGTGCTCAGGCCACCGTCCACCTCAGGCCTGCAGGTCCCACGGCCACAGCACTGGCCTCTGGACTGCCCTCCCCCGATATGGGGATCCAAGTGGGGGTGCAGCCACCCCAGCAGGAAACACCTGGTTCCTGGTCTCTCACTCACCTGTGAACACAGCAGGAGGCTCCGAGCTGCCAGGCTTGCTCACAAAGTAGCAGATGTGCCCAGAGGTGTGGCAGGGTGTTGACAAGCACTTCACGTTGAGAGAGCCCACCTGAGAGAAGGCAAGTGGCGCCCCCTCACCAAGGAGCCGTCCCAGGGCCACAAGGCAGCAGGGTCGGGACCACAGTGGGGTGGCCGTGCAGAAAAGGGGTCTCTTTTCCCCTGAAGGTGGTGTCAGATGGCACTTGGCTTCCCACCAGAGTCTCTCCTTCTCAGGGTGCACTTCCTCCACACCCCCAACTCGGCATCAGAACCATTCTGACCCACGAAGAGGACGTGGCAGCGAGAGGCCATCCCTGTGCTCTGATGGGGGCCACTGCACGGCACACGCACAGACGTGTGTACACGGCACACGCACAGACGTGTACATGCCAGCACACAGGCATACGAGGACATCCACGTGCTGATACAGGGTCACAGCCTGTGACCACCTGTCCACACACAGACATGTGCACACACACACGAGGACGTCCACCCGCGGTGATGCAGGGTCACCAGTGACCTGTCCACATGTACAAACATATGCTTGGTCTACATATATGTACAGATGTGTGCATACACACACACATGAGGACATCCACACTGTGATGTGGGGTCACGGCCTGTGACCACTTGTCCACACATACAGGCACACGTGCTTGCTCTACATACACAGACACGTGTGTATATACACGCATGCACACGAGGGTTTCCACCCGCTGTGATGTGAGGTCACAGCTTGTGACCACCTGTCCACATGTACAGACACGTGCACACAGTGACACCCACACGCACAGACACGTGTGTGCACACAGGCACACCTGCCCACACGGTCATGCATGGAGCTGTTTGGCTGTCAGCTGCAGCTTCCCTGAAGATCTCCGGGCGTATCAGCTGCTCTCCCCAGGAAACGCCATCCTCCCATGTAACACATGGTCTTGGGCCATCCAAGAAACGTGATGCTGATGGGAGAGTGCTACCTCACAAGTCATACAGGCAAATGTCACAGACGGTGTGGGCTCGGCGCCAGACCACACGATCCAGCAAGGCACACACCTTGGTTTCTCAGTGCGTATGAAAGCCATGTATCCCCAGACAACAACGTGGTGAGAAAGTCCACGCATCATGGGAACGACCAGGACAGATGCACAGCCAACAAGTGAGCACACGCTGCTGCCCAAACTGCCGACAGGCACCTGACACGCGGTCACCACGAACCCTCAACACGTAAAAAGGACAGGCTCCACGGCGTGTCACTGACACGAGGTCAACGGTCTCCGTTTCCCAGCCACCTGACCACCGTCCTCCCAGAGCATCCCCACGTCCCGTTACGTCGACGTCACACCTTTCGGCAGAGAAAACCGTCCAAACCCAGGCACCGCCCTCAGAGGTTAGCTGCCCCCCCCGGGCCCTGCAGCAGCAAGGGAGGAAGGGTCAGGAGAGAGACGGTACACGTGTGTGAGTGTGTACAGTACATGTGTGTGCGCACACAGCGCCAGCCTCACCTGCAGCGTGGACAGGTGTGTGACCTTGTTAGTCAGGGCCCCGATGCGGTCGTCACCGCCATACACCTTCAAGCCCGGTTCCAGCTTGACCAGCTTCTCATTCCCACCAGCATGGTCCCTGGAAGTCAAACGAGACCCGCTGACACTGGAAGCCACTCGCTGGCACTGTGGACCCACATGAACCTGCCCTTGGTCTGCTGACATGCGTTTCTCACACATGGAGGTCCTTCAGTACAAGGTCCTACCGGCCAGTCTCCACGGGGCCATGGGGACACGTCTGCGCCTGCCCTGTGGCTGCAGAAGGTTCTAAAGCAGAGGGACACGTGGGGCACCCGACGCCTGCAGCTCCCACGCTCCAGGGTGCCCTGGGACCACCTGGGCTCTCGGAAGAGGCCAGACTCCCACCCACACACCTCGGGTGTAGCCCAGTGTGGGGGTGCTGCCCCAGCTGAGGGTGGCCAGCCTGGGGAGACTCCTGGGCGAGCTAACAGCAGCCAGCGGGGAGACACCCCCAGGGCATCACCCACCCATCCAGCAAGCCCCCAGCTCTCCAAGAGAGGGGTGGTTGAGTCTGTGTTTCAGAAAGAGGTTCTGTTCTGAACCCCTGAAGATGAGGCCACAGGCCAGGTCCAGTAAGGCTTCCCCTCACTACACGTGTGAGTACATGTGTGTGCACACACACAGTCAGCAGCCATGCCCTAGGACTCCGGGAGACAAGCAGGGCCCCGGGGAGTAATGGTGGGCCAGTCAGGTGCCTTCTCCCTGTCCCCTCACCCCGGACCTGCCACAACCAGGCAAGTACAGGGCAGAAAGGCCTCAGCCTGCCCCATCACCCCTGCTCTTCATTACTCCTGATAAACACGCACCAACACAACTTCCCTGTCTCTCATGACACAGGTAGCACCCCACGGCCCCACTGGCTAGGCTGAGGGGCTTCTGTTCCTGTGTACTAGATGAGAGCTGCCTGAGTGACAGGGAAGTGGGGAGCAGACAGAGTGTGTGCACCGCAGGGTCACCCAGCCCCAGTCTGCATCTTGTGGGGTCTTCCTGTTGAGGATCACTGTTTACCGGGGGCCCTCATCCCAGGCCAGTCCATGCTGACAGCATGACCTGGGGGCTTGGCTTCTAGATAGCGGTCCAACCTTTGGGAGCTGGACACAGTGACTAAGGTCCGCCCATGGCCATGTGACCGACCCCGAGTAAGGGTTCCGTCTCTGACGGTGCGGCCTGACCCTTTGCTGCTGCTCATTTGAGAAGCTCCTCCTCCGACACGTTCCAGCCTTCTCAGGTTGCAGCTGTTGCGGCGGTCGCTGCGCACGGGATCGCTCCAGCGGGACAACGGATGGAACAGGGTTAAACGGCCAATTTGTCCTTCACTCAAGTGAATGGGCGTCTGCCCTGGGGCCGCTGACTGACCCACCCTGGCCTCCAACGCAGGATGCGATTCAAGTGGGTGACCCCTCCTCCACTCGCTGGCAGTGCCGCACCCAGTGTTTGTCCTCCTGTGACTGACGGACTGCACTCAGCGGAACGGGCTCTCGGTTCGTCTGTCTCGTCCGCAGATCCGCTGTTGCTTGACGACGGGTGGACGGCACTGCGTGCGCCGTGGCTGGCTTCTGCGCTCTTCTCTTGGCGGGCACTGAGGTCATCTCCGTCTCTTCACTACTGTGAGTGGTGCTGCAGTGAACATGGGTGTGCCCACGTCTGTTCACGTCACAGCTCTTTTCCTTGCGGACACACGCCTCATAGCGGGATTGCGGGATCAGGTGGTGTCTGCTTCAGCTTTTGCAGGAAGCTCGGCCGTGAGCCTTATGGGGCAGATCACCGGCACTGTCCTCCAAAGACCCGCCAGCCCTTCAGTTAGCAGCTGAGCGCTTAACCAGTGAGCCACGTTCTCCTTCCTCTGCATGTAAATATGCGACCCTTGGACAACACGACCCGGGTGAATGTGAGGACACTTGATGGAGCCACGTTCCCATGTTCCCGTTTCTAGAGCCACCACACAGTGGCGCTCTGGGGGTTTTCCTCACCACCTTGGCTCATGTCTGATACGGCTGCAGGAACCGCCCGCTGGGCTGTCTGCCACCTGGGCCTGTGCTGTGGAGATAAGCCACCTCCCGGGACAGGCACCCACCAGGCCTGGCTCACGCCCACCCGGGCCTGTGCTGTGGAGATAAGCCACCTCCCGGGACAGGCACCCACCTGGACCCTGGACGAGAACCTCAGCTTTTCCAGCATCTCTGCTTCATGCCTGTTTGTTCGCATTGTTCGTTTTAGAAGCTGCCCTGTTCTGAATTTATTTTCATTTTCACTTGTTTACACGCTCAGCAAAATGCTTTGTGAAGCAACTCACGGGCAGGCAGGCCCAAGAAGGGTCTGCGACCAAGTTTAGTATGAGGGGCATTTTCATACTCCTTAGGATAAGTGTAGGATCATTTGCTTTCTCCTTGTGTACAAAATACAGCTAGCTGCAGTTTTGTACACCAGCTGTTGACTCGGATGGATGGCGAATCCAAGACCACCAGGCCTAATGGTGGACTGTTCACTTACGGACAGTTGTAGGCAGCACAACAGGGTGCCGAGCCACAGAAAGCGTCTCACTTTCCGGGTGTCCATAAATATACTGGAAGCAGGCCACGCGCCTAGGGAAGCTCCCTTTCTCATTATGGGACTAACCCACATCGCAACTGCTTAAACCGCTCAGAACTGCAGGCCAGCAAAGTCAACACACAACCCCAACTATCACAATTAGTAAAAAATTTGTTGTTGTTGTTGTTATGTGCCGTCGAGTCGGCCCTGACTCATAGCGACCCCTCCTTGGGTTTCCGAGGCAGTATCACTACGGAAGTAGGAATGCCCAACCTTCCTTCCGAGGAGTGGCTGGTGGGTTTGAACCACCAGCCTTCTGGTTAGCAGTCAAGTGCTTTAGCCACTATGCTACCAGAGCTCCTCATAAAAATTTAGGGGGGAAAAAAAAAAAAAAAAGCCTCCAACTACAGCTTATTTTTCAAAATGGTGACTGGGTTCCTCTGCCCTGTGACATCAGGGCCGTGTCCCAGGCACAAGCCACGAGGTCTGGGACGAGGCTGCAGGGACCCTCCCAGGGGCCCAGGAGGGAAACAGGTGGCACACACTGTCACATGCCATCCCTCCGTCCATCTATCCACCTGTCCCCCTCTCCAGGGAAGGCACCCACAGTCATGCTATCACACAGGGTGAGCAGTCAGGGCCCGGAGGCCAGGAGCAGAGGGCTGCATGCAGTGTCTGGGGCCATTGGAGAACCCGGCCAGCCCCTCATCTGCCCAAAGGAGACAGGCACCAGGAGGGCATGCGTCCTCCAGCCAGAGGGCCGCCATGGCACCGGCTCTCTGGGGAAAGACGTGTGCCAGCTCTCACCCTGCCTGCTCCTGCTCACACACCTGGGAGGCCAGAGAGCCCCACACTCCCCTCCCCGGCCCACGTCACACCTCCCGCCAAGGACGCCCCTTGAGAAGTGGGCAGAGCCCAGAAGCCCCGGAGTGGCGAGGGCCACAGGTGGCAGACTCACCAGTGGTGGTGCGTGGTGAGCACGGTGGTCAGTTTCACACCATACTTCTTCACCGTTTCCACGACCTACGAGCAGAGGAGCAGAACGAAGGCCCCGGTCACCCCCACCCGGCGCCAGGCCCAGGACAGGGTGTGCCAGGACGGGCTGGGCCTCTCTCGGACTCCAGGAGACTGGGGGAAAGGCGGCCTTGTCCTCTACGGACCATCGGGGCAGCATCAAGCTTACACACCTATCTCGGAGCCCACCAGCTCACCACCCCCAGAAGCAGCACCACAGGGCAGAGTGAGGGTGGGAAAGCTGATCCCAGGGGGGCTCACTGGCCCCTCGCCCCTGGCCTGGTAAAGCCCAGCCCTTCTCTCTCCAAATCAAAGCCTCTGGCCTCGTCCCCCTCGCCAGCCCCTGGGCCCGCCATCTGGAGCGGGCCCCTGTTCACGTGCCCTGGCAGAGCTGCAGGGACCCGGCGGCTCTAGATGGTGACTGAGGCTGAGCTCTGGACGACAAGCCAGGTTAGCCCCGTCGTGGGCCTGGCTACACGCCCCTAAGAGTGACAGCCCAGGAGACCCCACGGGGCAGGTCTAGTCCATCACACGGAGTCACAATGGGTCGGAACTGACCACAGGCTGAGACGAGGCCAGAGCCCAAGCCTCCCAACAAGCCCCGGTTCCCGCCAGAGCCGGCAGCGCACCTTCTGGGGCTGCACCGGGTCCACAATGGCAGCCTCCCTGGTGTCGTCGTCGATGACCAGGTACATGTAGTTGTCGGTCAGGGCGGGAAGCAGCTCCACCCTCATGTCGGCCTGATCGACCACCGCACTCTTCCTGGAGCCGGAGTGACGGACGAAGACTCCGAGCAGGACCGGGCCTGAGGACACGGCGTGGAGTCAGGCCAGCGGCCAGGGCGGCCACGCAGCCGAGACCTACCCTCGGCCCCACGCTAGCACCCAGTCCCGGGGACGGCGGGGCAAGCCACGTGGCTGTGTGGGTGGGGCCCCGCGCCTCCGACAAGGACCAGGAAACTCTCACTCTGCCCCTTATTTCCCAGGGACACAGGACGTGCGTGACTCAACTTCGTGTTCTTGGAAACCCCTCTTCAGATCGATGCCCTCAGTTTCCTGTGCAAGGGTCTTAAAGGGACCAGGAGGAGCCCCAGGGACCAGGAGGAGCCCCAGGGACCAGGAGGAGCCCCAGGGGCAGCCAACAGTTAAGCACGTGGCTAACCGGGAGGCGGGGAGGGCAAGTCCTCCCAGAGGCTTAGCAAGTTCCTTCTGAAAGCTCACAGCCGTGGGGACCCCGCAGAGCCGACAGCTCGGGTCACCGGGAGCCTGAGTCCACTCACTGGTAACCGGGACCAGACTGCCAGCCGTGCTGGTGATTCCGGCAGCCGACAGACGGCTCGCGCCTGACTCAGAGAAAGGCCAAGGGGAGCAACGCAGGTGCCCACGAGCCCTGGCTGTCCGCCAGCCCCTGCGCCGCCCACGAGCCGGCAGGAGGCGGGGTCGCGCGGCACTGCTGCCCGCCCTGCCCGGACCCTGGCCACAGGAGAGAACTGAATTTGCTCTCAAATGGCAGGGACGAGGCCAAGGCACAGACGTCCCCAGCCCTGAGGATGGAGAGGCGGCCGCGCTGCTTCCAACTCGCGTGTGGAGAGCATGCCGTTACCGGCCACCTGGGTCGGGTGACTCTGCCAGTGTGACCGGGGGGTGGGGGTAGGGACTGAGGGACGCAGCTCGTCCACCAGAAGACGGATGCCAGCCGATCGTCAGCAACGTCCGTCCTGAAGAAAACACACGTGGGCCGAGTGGTCCTGGAGGTCCTAGCTCACAAAGGGGAGAGACTGCAAAAGCAGACAGGCTGGCTGAACACCACAGGCAGGGAAAGGGCCCCGACGGTGCCGTCACAATGACAAACACACCCGCTGTCCCCTTTTCTCTGACAGCCAGCTGAGCGTGCTCCACGCGCTGTGGCCGCCTGGGGCAGGTGCACCTAAAGGGGCGGGTCCACGTGGTGCCAGCAGCACTGGGAACTCTGCCCCTTCTCCAAGAACAGCTCAACGCTGCCTACCAACACCACCAGCTTTGCGCCGGCCACAACGCGATACCTCGTTCCCAGAGGTTCTGGGCCCAGAGCTGAGGGTCGGGTCCGGACCACAGACATGCTCGTGTGGCCACGAAATATTTTCTGAATCAGGAAGTTTCACAGCTTTCCGCTGTTCTCAGTGGCCCTGCAGGTGTCTGGGTGACACGAACAGTTTGCACTCAGCTGCTGACCCAAAAGGTTGATGGGTCGAACCCACCCAGTGACACCACAGAAGAGGCCTGGTGACCTGCTCCCAGAGGGGTCTCGGCCAAGAAAACAGCCGTTGGTGGCAGGTCTGCTCTGTCACACGGGGTCACTGTGAGGGGGGGCAGCCTGACAGCCTGCGTGGCACCAACGGGCTGGGGGCAGGGAGGGGACACACACTGTTAAAGTGGCACAGTCACCGTCCCACTCACACCATCTGCCAGGGTGCTGACGGAAGCATCCCCGAGTCTCACAACTGGACAGATGTCCCCAAAGGGAAGGGACCTGTCACTCTGGGAACCTCAGGAAATGGGTCCTTCCTTCATTGTGACATTTCACTCAGCATCTGACAATGGTCTCTGGGTTCGCTTGTCCCCCTACCTACACTCGGTGGCCATCCAGCTAACTGCTAACCATCTCCCAGACACAGCAAGTTAACCAACTGGCCCACTGCCACAGGGACTGGAGGAGCAAACTGAATTTGAAAGACCTCCAAATCAAGGCCAAAGCACCCCAACAGCTGGAGGCGGCCGTGAGACTCTCAACTGGAAAGCTGGGCCAGCAGGTCCTCCACTCCTTAGAGAGGTGGATGGAGAGAGACTGAAAGAAGGAGGCGGCAGGACCAGGGCTCCCCAGCTCACAGAACCCAGTATTGTTTTCAGGTTCTGCCTTTGACCCTCCCTATGGAGTTATGTGCCCCCAGATTTTCCCTGCCATCTGAAAGCGGTGTGAAGAACGTGATTTATACATTCTACTGCCTGTTAGTCACAACCACATGCCAGAAACGAAACCACACCCACTGCCGTGGAGTCCATTCTGACCCACAGCACCCCTAGAGGACAGAGTGGAACTGCCTACAGGGTCACCCAGGCTGTCAGTCTTCAGGGAAGCAAAGCCCAAACCACACCCACTGCCTGGAGTCCATTCTGACCCACAGCGCCCCTAGAGGACAGAGTGGAACTGCCCCAGGGTCTCCCAGGCTGTCAGTTTTCAGGGAAGCAGAGCCTGCTACCTCTTTCTCCCCCACAGCGACTGGTAGGTTCCAACGGTAAACTTTCCATTAGAAGCCAAGCACTTAACCACTGCGCCACTAGAGCTCCTTTTATATTCTGTTGTGGGGGGACATGTGGCAACCTCCTTAATCCCGAGTCAGGAGCCAGCTCTCAGGTGGCTGCCGGTGGACCACGGGGAGAGGCAGGGCTCCCCACACAAGGTCTGGGTGTTCTAGAACAGGCATTTCCTTCCCTGGCACACATCCTTCTGCACCCCGGCTGACAAGTGACCCCACTGTCTTCTGCCCCTCTCACTTGTCTGACTCAACTCCCGGAGAGCCTTTTTCCGGGACACCACTGGCTGCCTACCGGTGGCCCGCCAGGCGTTAGGCACCTGTGTGTTGATAAAAGACAGCGTCAGCTCGCGGCCGCCCCCTGCTGGCGCCTCAGCGCGTCGGATGCGGCCGGCCCAGAGCGCGGCCGGCCTCGCGACATCCCTGCAGGCACCCCAAGCCCGAGCCCGGCCGTGTCCGCGGGCCAGACCGGCGTCACCACGACCAGCGGAGTCGGCGTGACCCCTCGGCATCTCGCACGGGCTCGCCTTCCTCCAGGCGTTTGCGGCTCGTCCCTCGGGAGCGGAGCCCCTCATCCCTGCCCGACAGCAGCCCCGGGGCAGAGCAGGAGCGACCAAGGCGCGTCCCGGGCTGAGGCCTTGTCAGGCCCGCCGCCTCTGCGCCCTGGCCGCCCCGTGTCGCCCGCCGCCCACCTACCCAGGCCGCGGCGAGCGCAGGCTCCCAGGAGTGCGAGGCTGCGGCGGCCGACCAGCCCGCAACCCAGCACCATGACCAGGGCGGCGGGTGGGAGCGGCGCGGGGCGGGGGCCGCAAAACGCCAAGCGCAGGCGCGCCGCAGCCAATCAGCGGCTGGCGCCTGGCCCCGCCTCCGCCAATCAGCGCGCTCGTCCAGCCCCGCCCCCGCCAATCAGCGCTCACTCGCCTCGTACCCACCCCTTCCCCTTGTACCCGCTGCTGGGAACTGGGGAGGTGGTGTCGGCACCCCGAGAGCTGCGCGCTGACCTCCACCGCCTTCTGGGGACACGGCCACCGTCTTCGGGCCGGGTAACAGTGAGGCAGCCGCCGGACAGCGGCTCCCAGGGGGCCAAGCGCAGAGCGGACCGGGCCGGTGCGGAGGTGATTTGTCCACTCGCGGCAGCCGTAGGCGCCGTGCCCGGCTCCGCGAAGCCCACGTGACTCGGGGCACCGTGTCCCGCCGCCCGCGAGCGCCATGGCGGCGCCCAGGCCCATGGCCCGCTTCTGGGAGTGGGGCAAGAACATCGTGTGCGTGGGCAGGAACTACGCGGAGCACGCCCGGGAGATGCGCAGCGCGGTGCCGAGCGAGCCGGTGCTCTTCCTGAAGCCGTCCAGCGCCTACGCCCCCGAGGGCTCGCCCATCCTCATGCCGACCTACAGCCGCAACCTGCACCACGAGCTGGAGTTAGGCGTGGTGCTGGGCCGGCGCAGCCGCGCGGTGCCCGAGGCCGCGGCCATGGACTACGTGGCCGGCTACGCCCTGTGCCTGGACATGACCGCCCGCGACGTGCAGGAGGAGTGCAAGAGGAAAGGGTTGCCCTGGACCCTGGCCAAGGGCTTCGCGACCTCCTGCCCCGTCAGCGCGTTCGTGCCCAAGGAGAAGGTCCCAGACCCTCACAAGCTGAGGCTGTGGCTCAAGGTCAACGGCGAGCTCCGGCAGGAGGGCGAGACGGCCGCCATGATCTTCTCCATCCCCCACATCATCAGCTACGTTTCTAAGATCATGACCTTGGAGGAAGGCGATATCGTCCTGACCGGGACCCCAAAGGGAGTTGGGCCTGTTAAGGAAAACGACGAGATCCAGGCTGGCATCGACGGGGTCGTCAGTATGCGGTTTAAGGTGGAGAGATCGGAACACTGAATTGTTCAGAGAGCAAGGCCGAAGCGAGCCAAGGTGACCACTACCCTTTAATAGAAAATCAGTTTGAGGAAGGATGTGATGCGGTTGCCGACCCTCCACTCGGGGCAGGCGGACCCTGTGTGCCTGGAACAGGACTGGATGAGCATGTTGCAGGGGTCAGCCCGGGGTGTCAGTGGTCCACGACTTCAAATCTGCAAAAGATGTTGGAAGCCGTGGTCCACTGTTTCACAGACTGCTGATGAGTTATCTGGGGGGTACTTGTAAAAATAACAATTTCCAAATTCCTGGCCCATCCCAAACGCACTGAGCCAGTCCCTCTCTGGGGTAATGGCCAGGGAAGCTGCGTTGACAGTCTCCGTGATTTTTTTTTTTTTTTTTCTTTTTTTTAAATCGGGTATTTGGAAAAACACTGGTCCAGATAAGCGGTGGATTTAAATTTTTACTTAAAGTTAATGATTGATGAGTATTTACCCCTTAACTCAGGGTATCCACCCTGGCCCCTAGATTGCATTTGGAAGATAATTTTGAAAACTACTGTCTTCCATATAAATACGCTCTCCTCTGTGCCCTAAAGGTGCGCCCCGCCACCTGCCACCCCAGTAGTGATTGGAGAGACAGTTCCTTGTGGGGCATCACCTTGGCCTCTGGCCTGGGCCTCCGACTGTCAGCTGAGTTTATTAACACTTCTCCCACCAGGCTGCAGTGCCTTCAGGGAGGTCCAGTGACAGGGAGCACCACTCCCCTCCCTCCCAACAGCCAGCACGGCTGTCAGGTGCCTGGCAGTATGTCACAGGAGGCGTCTACTCGGCCCTCAGAGAAAGCTGAGGACACCCAGTGCTGTGACAGGGGCTGCGGCCGACCAGCACTCAGTACCGCTGGGCACTGTGCCCAGAGTCCCCCGTGCACCATTCAGTCCTGCATGAAGCTGAGGGTCTGTCGCTACTTCCACCTGTTACACAGATGGAGCACAGGTTCAGAGGTCAGGCAGCCTGACTAAGGTATGGCAGAGCCAAGATGTCCCAGGACTAGAACCCCAAGTCTGACCCCAAGGAGGCTGCATCCTGAAACAGGCGTTATGTGACCCCAACATTCAAATTAAGACTTTAGGTGGAAGTGCCACAATGGGATTTATTAAACGTCACGCCGTTTAAGCTTCTTTTGCCTCTTACGTGTTCTTTACTGGAGTCGTAAAACAGAGGTGAGCAAACAGACCCAAAGCCCACCCACCCGACGCAGCCAGACTGAACCCTCTGGAGCTAGTGGGTGTGGTTCTCAGCTGACGCTCACACCAGCCAGACTGCCCCTAGCCTTCCCGTCCGTGTGTGCTGTGACTGTCAGTCGGTCCGTCTCTGCAGGGCTGTCTGCCCCCTTTCTGGACACAGACTCTGACGACTGCTTGCCTGTGGAACCACTAGTGGTTCTCCCTTTGGCTGGACCCCCACGAGGGAAGAGCTGGGCCCAGTGAAAGGGTGCACTCACGTGGAGATGGGACAGTGCCCCAAGAGGGTGCAGTGCAGCGTTCAGGGGAATCAGGTATGAGGTGTCCACGTGAGGTACCCGGAGTGTACAGCACCCCCGGGGTCAAGGGCCGCTGTCAACACACAGGCTTGGTCCAAATCAGCTGATCATGCGACAGCCCGAATCCCGGACTCGGCGGTGCGGACGCAGCACACAGTCCTTGGCTGCACAGGACTGAAACCCCGTCGCCTCTTCGGTTCCCACAAGCCCCGCGGTTGTAGAACATCACCAGGAAGGAAGTCTTGCAGCCCAGCAGATACGTTCCCCCCACCTTCTAGTTTGAAAACATTTAAATCTCCCAGAAAGTTGAGATCCTGGTACAGTGAACCCCATATTCTGGCCCTAGAGCCAACAACTGAGCGTTTTCAGTGTTGTCTGTCTGCCTGCCTCTGCTTTCCTACCTGCTGGATGTATCTTAGAAAACTGGAAACCAGTTGCACAAACACTCCCCCCCCTTTCTGCACACATCTAAGATTGAGTGTGCTGTCCAACAGCCGTGCTCCGTTACCACACCTAAGAGAAGTGTTCCGGAGTGGACTGGTCCGTGCAGAACTAACTGGGTGACATCCGTTCTTGCGGACAGGACTGTTTTTAAACACGTACACTGGGCTCATAGGCAGACCGGCTTCTCAACAGTCGCAGCTCTGAAAACGCTGTGGCGTGTGGGTCACACGGGGTCACCGTGAGTCAGGTGACGCAGCAGCAGCAGCTAACACCAACAACGCTTCTCCAGTCTTATCGTCGCGTGGACCTTTCAACGTCAGGGCTTTCCTCCTGCTTAGGAGGAATTCCTCAGGTTTTCTTTCAGAACCTGTTATTTTTAAAATATTCAATCAGAAAATGAAAATGGTTGTTTCTTGTTCTTAGGAAAACTGTTACTGGGGGCCTAGAGCGCCCCATGTGACAGTGGAACTGCCCCATAGGGTTCCGTAGGCTGTCACGAGAGCAGATCCGCTGGGTGGGTGACAGTGCTGACCTTTGGGTTAGCAGCCGAATGCCTCAGTCACTGCGCTCACAGAGCTCACCCGATTCCAAAGTACGAAACTCACTGCCATGAGTTGATTCTGACTCATAGTGACCCCATTGGGTTTCTGAGGCAGTAAATCTTCATGGACGTAGATTCCCATCTTCCTTTTGCAGAAAGCTGGTGGGTTTGAACTGCCAACCTTCTGGTTAGCAGTCACATGCCTTAATCACATGCCAACAGAGCTCCTCAGCCATGACTGGGGTGACTAATTAGATTCTGGAGGGAAATAAGAGACCTCGAGGGCCCGTTCCCCTTACAGAGGAGTGATGGGAGCTGGGCGCTGCATATGGGGCTTCCCTGCCCTGGTCCAGGGCCTGACGCTCTCGGGATATACTCTCATGTTTCCATCATATTTTCATTGTTTCAAACAAGTAGATCCATTCACACGGGGTGCCGGCTCCAACTCCCGAAGCATTGATGCCCCCAAGGCCTGGGGTCCCCGGGCAGGACAAACAGCCAGCGCACGTCTGCTGACCGATGGCTGCCACACGTCCACTCAGAGACGTCGCAGCAGCTCCACTTGTGAACATGCTGTCCCGCCAACCCTGCAGGACATGTTCCACGCTGACACACACACGGGTGCCCCGAGTCGGAGGCGATGACCAGTGGCGGTGGCAGCTGACCACCCGCCCCCCAGCCCTGGTAGGCGTTAGTAGCCCTTCGAATCTTGACTAGGGTAGGTGTGGCATCACTCAGTAATCTCAGCCCATAAAGCCGCCCAGGCAGGTCATCTTCCGGAAGCCCTGGGCGCTGAGGGCCTGCGACACCTCCCTTTCTTTGCCCTTGTCCCTTGGCCTCTCACAGGGTGTGGTAAGCCCATGTGGACCTAGGATGATACGGGGAGGCGCGTCACAGGAAATTCACAGGTGCTGTCAGCCAGTTAGGAGGAGTGTGTGGCACATGACACTGAGACTAGACTCGGGTGCTAACTCGGTGACAGGAACTAACTGCAGTGGCACGTCCAGGGGCAGTGCTGGCAAAGACCTGGACACTGGCAGCTCTTTCCTGCCTCTCGGCTGCGGGCAATGTGTAAGCAGTCACAGCCCGACAGATGCTCCTGCTGTGCCAGGACAGGGCCTGGCCAAGACTACAGCGTCAGCCCCCAGATGGCCTGGGCTCGGCAGGCCCGGCCGGGACACTGGTGTCACCCCCCCAGATGGCCTGGGCTCAGCCAGGACACCACTGTCACCCCCCAGATGGCCTGACTGACAC